CACACACACACACACACACACACACACACACACACACACACACACACACACACACACACACAGTGACCTCCAGAAAAATCCCGAATGTGACAGCTTAACATGACCAAATAAAGAAAACCAAAAGGATTTAAAATAAAATAAAAATAAAAAATTGGAAAAGAACAACCTGTTCAATCATACCAAAAACTGTTTAAAAAAATACAGTGCAACAAAAAGTAGTTTCAATTTTTCAGACTATTAATGATCCTTTTATAATGTATTAGCAAAACTATTTCATCTTAAGAATAGGAGAATAAGATTTWTACAAACTTTAAAACTAAATGATTCTCTTGCTCTTAAGAATTTTCTTCTACATTTCAGACAAGAATGTTTGCAGGTGTAGGGAGGTAATATAAATGTGAAAAAAAACACTGTTTAAAGTCAGGATGCACAATTCTGAGTTTTGCAGAAATTGGCTAAAAACTAATTGTTTATCAGATTGTGAGAATGGTTATAGTGCTCAGGTTTTGTTAAAGTTTTAATTACATTGTTTTTGTTTCTTTTAGCAACAAAAACTGATGTCAGTAATACCAACATTACAGTGGTTTACTTGGTTTCAAACTATTTGAGAAACATGACTATAGTGAGGTGAACTTGTCAGACCTCCGTAGTCCACTTGGTGTCAGAAAAACTCTTTATTAAAACTCTTTATTAAACAACAGTGACGATACTCTGCGGTTTTTACAAACTAAGCAGTGCTAAATAGTCAAGCCAAACATCTAACTGAGAAGGATCACACAGTCTAAATAATAGTAATAAAGAATAAAACAGTCAAACATATCACCAAAATAAACTGAGGAGCTCCTCTAAAACTCTGCATGTCAAACAAATTAGGTGAAGAAAATAATTGCAGTGGCATGCAGGTTTTTCTCTGCATGAATGCACTTGAGTGAGAACATGATCAATGATTTACAAAAATACACACATCCAGATTTTTACAACAAATACACCATTAAGAAGAGGCAGAGCTGAGTAACAAGCAAGGGCTGAAGATGGCTTCAAATTTGATAAAACCACCAAACCCAAAGAGTAAATTTACAACTAATTCAATCAAGCTAAATGACCACTTCTTTTAGAACCACACCATTTTTATATGAATGCAGCGTATGAACAGAAAAAAAACAAGACGTTGCTCAAATACCCAGCCCTGAGAGAAAGACTGAATGAATGGAACCAACTTACATGAAACTGCAGTTAGGCAGATGGGACGCGCAGGAGGAGGAGGAAAGACAAGAAGAGGAGGAGGAGTGGTTGGAGAGGGGGAAACAGACACAGGGTTAATGTGAGTTACGGGGCGGCTGAGGGTGGGTGGAGGTTTGGAAGGATCACGCAGGCATCTYGACAAAAACTGCAAACAATGACACACTTGGAAAAGGAGTTTCAATGTTGATGTAAACAAAACCATTTGGATAAATTAGCCCCAGCGCTGGAAGAAACGGTTTTCCAAGTTGTCATTTGTTGCAGTGCATGAACAAGGAATCAGGAGGACGCATCAATCAGATACAAAGTTTACCATTATGAAGCCTTCACTGCAATATATTCACTTATTTTTAGTGCCATGGTACTCCAAARATCTTAAAACCAGGTAAAAACTTTAATGTTTTTAACATTTTAATGAAATTATTGATGCAGGGTATTAGATGAGCACTTGCATGGTAGTATGACAGTTCTGACAGAGTGAAGCAGAATAAAACAAATCAAAAAGTCAAAGTTGCTGCAATAAACTTATTCTTCCACGTCTGGCAAATGTTTTATTTCATGGCCTACGACCAGGAGAGAAACACAATCCTTAGACAAATACTGTATGTTTCATCATATTTGTGACCCATCACATCGAAACGAGGATTAAGTCCAAAAGTGTTATATGGAGAAACAGGCAAATATAGTGTTTTGACTAAAATGTTAACAAAAATTGCATTTTGTCAAAATATAATGAATAAATGGCTTATCAATGTATCATTTGAATGAACTGCCTGAAATATAATCATAAAACAAAATTTTGAAGCACTTTTTTTGAGCAGTAGCAACGAAAAAACTGATTTTGAGGAAAAATGCCTTAAAACTTTGAGATTTTCCCTGTGAGCTAGCAAAGTTTTGTTTCTTTTTAGCTGGGAAATCTCAATATTCAAATATAATTTGAGGTTTCCTCTTTATAAAGGACATCAGAAATTCCTCATGACATAAAATGACAAAATTAGGACACAGACCAAATATTTATGTATTATTGTAACCAACAAGACAAATTAAGTCATATACAGTATATGGATTTGATTAAGATATCAGAATGATCCAGGTATCAAAAGGTAGCTTTTAAAGCCAAGAATCTGAAAATGTCATTAGGTCATTTTGACCAAATTTGACTTAATCTTTATTTCAATATGATGGGTCACATTTATGGCTACAAGATCAAATCTACTGTATGATCTGAGGGTTACATGAAACGCTCAGAACATTTACTGAAACAGACCATGTTGCAAAAAATTGCAATGNCAACGAAAAAACTGATTTTGAGGAAAAATGCCTTAAAATTTTGAGATTTTCCCTGTGAGCTAGCAAAGTTTTGTTTCTTTTTAGCTGGAAAATCTCAATATTCAAATATAATTTGAGGTTTCCTCTTTATAAGGACATCAGAAATTCCTCATGACATAAAATGACAATGGCTACAAGATCAAATCTACTGTATGATCTGAGGGTTACATGAAACGCTCAGAACATTTACTGAAACAGACCATGTTGCAAAAAATTGCAATGAAGGCAGAAAAATTGAGCAGAAAGGTTAAAAAGTTTTCCAGAAATTAAAGTAGAATTCCTGAGGAGATAAGAGGGTTGATTCAGCACAGAAAATAAAACAGTTTGTTAAAAGCATTAAAATAGAACTACTGCTGTGCTGCAAACTGTCATTTTAAATAACCCYGATGGACAACAGTAGAATTGTTTTTACTTATTGCTATTTAACTCCAGTCCTTATAGTTTGTAGATCTGAGCGTGTGAGATCAGAGTCGCTGTTTACAATAGATGACAAATATAAAACCACATCAAGTCTAAAATAATCTGCACACTTGTTACCTGTTAGCCATGCAGCAGAATAAGCAGAAAGCAGGAAGCACAAAAAGAGGCTGTAAGCAGTCCCAGCATCCCCTGAACTCGTGTTTATAAGCGTGAGCGGTTTGTGTGTGTGCGGTGTTCGTGTGCACATGCGTGTGCGCGAAACTCACCTTTGTAGACGTTGAGTGTGATGGTGCGGACTGCAATCCGGACCATGCTTTCTGGGTGGTTGAAAAACTTAATGGCTTCGGTGTACAGGGCAAAGTCATTAGTGTGCTGTGTGTGGGAGACAGAGAGGAGGCGCCGGTGAGCAAGGCATTGCACCGCCAAACTCAGGCCGCAAGTGACGACAGAGAGAGCGAGGAAGCAGCTGAACAGAAACATTGGACACTATTGTAGTTTCTAAACATCTAGTATGAGTAAAATCCAAATCTCTTCTGAAAAATATTGTAAAAAAAATTTAAAATCCAGACAATATTTGAGGAAAAAAGCTATGGATATTTTTTAGTGTAAAGCATTAAAAACTACAATTAGATTTATGTTTTCTAAATATATATACACATATATAAAAAGACTAATTAGCTTTTTTGTCTCATTTATTTTAGGTTTAAGCAAACTGTAAATCTGTATCAAGCAGAAACCTGTTGCTCTCACAGCCCTCTCTGTGCCTGATCCTCCTCCCAACATTTCCTCAGTTACTGAGACCTCCGAGGAAGCATTTAGAGGTTTAAAAACCATCTTGAAGTCACAGCAAWTGAAGAAATTTGAACTTGAAACCAAACCCAAACCAGAGTTTGCAATTCATTTCTAAAAGTATGACAAAGTTTTACTGGGAAGGAAAAGATGACAGCAATGCAACACTGCCACCTGGAGGAAAATGAGCTTTAAATCCCAATTTCACTGTAAATTATTTTCTAAGGAGTTGAAAAGAGAGAAATAAAAACACAAAACAGCTCATTAAAAGGAGTCTATAAATTGTTAAAAATTTTTAAAAAGGTTGTATATTTCTCTACACGTTTACTATGGTTGTTTCCGTACATAAAATTACGTTATGAATCAGTTAGAATATACCACAATAGTACATGTATACAGTAAATATAGCACAGTATAAACCAGGTCCTCATTCTACAGGAAAATACTCTGAAATCTACAAAATCAGGTCTGGTTTTGGCTTCAGGAGCACAGCTACCATTAACAGTACACCAAAAACTTTCCCCAGTGCACACAGATAAACACAAAGGTAAAGCCGAACAAATAAAAAGTTACAACAACAATAACTTTTGAGTTGGTCAGGATCCAGATATACAAACAAAGCACAAGCAATATTTTCAGAATTAAACCAGTAACGTCTCTGGATCACAGCTGAGGAGAAAACGTACCATACGTTCAGCAGTTATTATCTTTAATATTAATTATTCTTTGCTGAGTCAGCTAAATCAATGAACCTTCACAGGAATGTGCAGCATGTTAGAAAAGGAACAGAATCTAAAGTTAACTAATCAAAGTTCAAGAATCATTAACTAGATTTTTAAATCTAATGATTAGTAAAAAAATGTGTAGCACAACCTCACAGCTTTGTGCAACTTCAAATTGTTTTGTGGAAAAAGACTTAGACCTTTTTCCCCAGCTGATCTTACTGTTAATGTTGTTAATACTTAATCTCATCCTTCCTTTCTTGCTGACGGACAGGTTCAKCTCATAACTGTGGGTCACTAAATCATTTCACTGTGTTTCTGTGTTTTTCTTTCATGCACCCTTGATTCTTCTGTGGCCTCACCTCGTTGTAGAAAAAGTGTACAGTGTGGTTGTTTAGCTTAAGAGACAGGGTCTTGAGGAAGGAAATGTAGTAAGCCATGATCTCTTCATCCGAGAAGTCAAACTTGTGCACGATGATGGAGTTGACGTGGTTGTTTGACAACAGATAATCTAAAAACAAAGGGGAAGGGAAGTCAGGCAAAATAGTCTTATTTGGTCAAAATTATTTAAATGACCTGAAATTTAACAGTCTGTTTTTTTAATCGACATCCAGTGATTTAGTGTGTTAAACATTTAGGCTGAATGGGTAGTTTCACTTCAGCAGCTTCATTTGTGTTCCACTGCTATCATGCTAAAACGTAGATTGATGTTTTTATATGACAAACAAACAAATTTTTGGGGATTTTTTTTTCATTTTACTGCCTTTACTTTCAAGCATTTTACTCCTGTAAAACCACAAGAGCTCATCAGATTTCGTAACTGCTGCAAAAAAGCAAGTCCTTCAAATAATTATTTAGGATTCAACATTATAACCTAATGTTTTTAAAGCAACCACCTCTATTGGCAACCTAAATAAAAGGCCTATTTTAAAAACACAGATCAACATATTGATATTTTTGGATGATTGCTAAAGAAAAGAGAAATCAATCAACCTGGGTTTTTCAAAAACAAACAGGAAACCTACTACTAGAAAAAAGGCCTCTTAAAATTTGCTTAAAATAATTAAAAAAAAGAAAAATATAACTACAATGTTGTAAGTAACTAGGGCTGTGTATTGGCAACCAGTCATACCAGGGGTCATGACACGATATATCCCGATATATTGCGATACTGTAAGCAAGGCAATATATTGTGATATATTGCGATTTTTTTGTCCAAAAATTCTATTAAATAAAAACCTCTTACTGGAAAAAAAAAAGAAAAGCTAATGTTTACTTACAATGCTAATGCTACCCTTACTCTCTGGCGCTCAAGAGGTAGAGGAGCCAAATGGCTGGCTCACTGTTGCCAATTAGTGGTCAGAGGCTGAACTACAACATAAAAATGAACGGTTGGCAAGAAGGTTGACATTTTAAACCTTAATAAAAAATCGATGCAGGGCTTTAGAATATCGATACAGTATCGGGAAATGAAATATCGAGATATTTCAGTGTATCGATATTTTCTTACACCCCTATAAGTAACAGTAGCATAGTTACTTTTATTAAATACATACTGCACTTTATTCAAATAAAACATGAAAAAAATGTGAAAAAAATGCATTAATAAAAAAAGTAAAACTAATGTACTCTGCTTCTTGTAATGCTTAAAATTTTGTATGACTTTTAAAAAGTACACACACACAAAAACCAAAACTTGCTATCCGTTTTCTGCAGTGTGTTACAGTCTCACTCCCTTACCACAGGATCAGGTTCAAAATGACAGCAGCAACCCATCACTATTAACCTTTTCAGTAAATTACTATTTTTTTTTACTTACATAAGGAAGTCTCATGACTGATGTTTTCAAACAGAATGTTGAGGGTCTGGAGGAGCTGAACACAGACGTAGCGACCAGACTTCTGACGCAGGATGTTCAGGAAGAAGACAAACATGTTCTTCTCCAGGAAAAAACTAAWAACATACACATGTGCAGAGATACACATCTTACGACAAACATATTTGCATAAACAAGAAATTCTAAAAACCTCATGATAAAATAAAAATCCTAAATGTCCTTAATTTGGTTGTGGATATATGTTGCATTTTTCGTAAGTCATTACTTGCACAGCCAGAAAACGCAAAGAAATTCTAACAACAGATTAGCAAAACACATTTAATGTCAAATTTCTGCTGTATATGATAAACAATAGATGTTTATTTAACTTCCATACAGGATGCACATTTKATGATTTGGAATGGACAGTGTACAGTCACTGACTGGGACTTACTCAAACACAGAGCTGTCATTCTGGTCCCCCCAGATGAGGATCTCTGTGATGGTGCGGATAGTCTCGACTAGTAGGTTTCGGTTGTGGTCGGTCACTGTGGTGTTTTTGGTCAGAATGTGGTACATATATCTGAATAAAAACATTTACAAATGTAAAGCATGTGTACAAGAGATAAAATAAAAACATTTTAGCAGTAAAACAAAAACGGTACAGTTAGCAAAGCTCTAGATACAAAGCTAAAGTAATTTACACTGTAGTTAACACCAGTGTACGACAACCTGACTGGAATCTAATTTGTTTTAATTTGACACATGTTGTAGTTGCACGAGTTTAACCTTACACATACTTTCGTAAACCCTAGACAGCACACTTTCAACAAATTTACAATCTACTTTGTTATCTAACATAACTCAAAACACCTGCGGTTTTAATGTCCCGGAACTCTTAGCAGCAAATGACATTTGTAATTGGAAGCGCCCCGACAATGTAATATGCTAGCTAGCATCCTATACCCTACTAGATATAACAAAAATACTACAACTACAAGTAAGTTTGTGAACTGAATAGACAACATAATGTTAAAGCAATGTTTTAAACTGTTAATAGCTGAGCTAATGTCAACGTTGCGTTCAACCGGTTACCAATAAACAAGCTAATATTTAGCCTCCGTGACGCTAACTACTCACTTTAAATGGTCCAACGAGTGGATATTTTTCGTCTTTCCTTGTCCTCCAACCCAGCTCCGCGACCGACCAAACATGGTTGCGGTTTTAAAAGAGCCGCTGTTCTCCAAAATATTGCACAATTTATAAAACGCGTTTACCCATATCGCCTACTTTTATCGTACTAATAATATCTCCTAGCGTAGGTAGGGTGACAGGCGGATAGGGCTGTAAGACTGGGTAACGCCTTCATCACTAGRTTTCTTCTGGGAATTGTAGTTTTTGTTCCACAATACATGGTGGTGTAAGTGGTRAGGAGGACTACAATTTTTATGGTGGTTGTGACGATTAAATCAAGCGACAGTACCCTGTTTGCGTCACTGAATGGCCATCGTATCAGCCAATCAGAATAGAGGCTGCTATTCGGTGAACCAATCGCGTTTCAAGGTTTCAGATGTGGCTTTGTGGTCGGCTCTGTTTTGATGTAGTTGGCAAAAAAAATTACATATTAAGCGAGTTTTATCCGTGAAGACGACGTGAGACGTTTTTGATTATATTTTTATTTTCTGAGTTTAGAGCATTGCTAGACTGAACTTGTAACAAATGGTGTAGTTTATTTTGGCTAACCTTGGCTGCTACTGTTTTTAGCCGTCGCGAGCTGGCATGGCGTTAGGAACCAATGTCAAGAATGCGTCGAGCTAGCTCTCGCCATGTTTTAATTAAGTCCCATGGTTATTATTAGCAATGGACGTAATGCCGTTTAGTTTATATGCTTTCCTGTTATTTTCCTCTGGACTCTACAGATAAACGGATCTCGGAAAGATTTCTTAGCCACCGTTACAGGTCGGGTTGAGCCGAAATGGACGCCCGAGTCTCACCTGCCCAAACAGATTTGTAGCAGCAAATATCATCAACTCTGGTTACGCACTAGAAGCCAAATTTTGGTTCATCTTTCTTTTCTATGACACAACCAGTTTATGCCCAGTTAGATTCGGTGGAATCGCTTTTGGACGAGCTCCCATATATGTTTTATTTGGGCCTGTTCTTTGTGAACGTCCTCATCCTCTACTATGCCTTTCTGATGGAGTACATAGTCCTGAATGTGGGGATAGTGTTTCTGCCCGAGGATATGGACCAGGCTCTGGTGGATCTCGGGGTGCTCTCAGATCCGGCCTCTGTACCCTACGACACAGACACGGAGCTGGATGTGTTTGAGGGCTATCTGGAATGACAACATGGAGCAAAGCGGGCAGGTGGACGCAGCTGCAGGCTCACCCTCGCAGAGACAATATACAGGAAAAAAGTAGGATTCGTTTTCTGTCATTCTAGGGATTTAAAACTAAGGTTGAAGCCACAATGATGACATTTTTGTGTATTACGCCCATGTCTCTGTCCCCAGGTTGTCTCAGTTTAAAGAAAGGTGACCCGAGGAAAGGACTGAACCTTGTTAGACCACATGATCAGCAACAGGAAGTAGACTTTCCACCAGATCATTGATGCTACTGACCCTCATATTGGTAACTGAAAGGAAGCACCGTGTGCTGCAAGTGACGAGTAACAGTCAATCCTTTTATCTGAGAAGCAGATCATGTGTCTGATCACCTGCAAGGTTGGGATCCAGCTGCCTGACCCTGACGGCATCAAAAAGCCAACTTACAGGAACTTGGTCACTTCTTTTACAGTGTTATAAAACATTTAAGAAGAACTAGCAAATTACCAAGAAGACTGCATCTTCCTGTAAGCATGTTGCATACTTGATCACCCTGAGAACAGTTTGTTTCTTTTTAATTGAGAACACCAAATTCATGGCTGCTTTACAAGCTCTTTCATTCAGTGTGTCTTTTGAGGTTCTCCATATTTAATTTCTGTATCAGAGATGTACGCCTCTCAGGAGCATGAATTAACTAAATCTGGTTACACTGGCAAGACGTAATATCCCTGAAGATACACTGCAGAGCTGCAGGGTGAAAAAAATCATTTTTTTTATCTTTACTGTTTTTTTTTAATGCTGTCTGTACTTAAATCATGAGCTGTTAGTCAAATCTATTTTTCTCAAGTTAAATAATACGCCAAATCTTCTTATGGAAAACCTCAAAAGATGTGCGTGGGAGTCCTTTATCTAAGTCATGTTTAATGACTACAAGAAATTTGGTGCAGGAGATTACTTTTAATTTAAAAAAAATACTTTGTTTTCAATTTTACATATTCAGAAATCATTTCAAAAATATATGTTTTCAACAGCAATAATAAATAAAGGAAGAGGAGGATTAGATATTAAGGRGATTATTTTTAACCTTTGATTGTAAAATAAACAGACTTTACTGTTTCGGTGAGGACTGTTAAGGGACATATTCTATGCTTTAAATGTACTGTACATGCTGCAGATCTATGTGGAGTGATTACAGCCCAGCTAATAACTAAACATTTATTTTGGGGGGGAAAAATAAGTATTTTTTTTTTCCTGAAGCAAACTTTACGCTCGGATGACATTTTGATGGTTTTAAATCCAAACCAGGAGTATTTATTTTCACATGCATGTTTCAGATTGACACTTGGTGATCCCGAATTGCATTTCCTTTTATTTTTAATACCAGACAGCATTTCTCAGTCATGTTCAAGTTTTAATTAGCTGCCTGCTCAGCTAAAATGGCAACCTAAAACATAGCCAGCCAGCTACCAACAACTACACTGTGGGAAATTTAAATATCTAACTGTCATCAAGAATGTGTGTGTAGAATTACAGAACTTGCAGAACTTTTTTTTTGTTTTGATAGATTAAAATCAGCAATGAAGCAGATTTTTTCCTTTCTTTAGATTCAAGCTGCCGTAAAGCAATATTTTGTATAAATGTTTAATTTGTGCATAAATAAGTATTTTGGAGTGACTATGAAAACAAACTAAAAACTCAGGATACTGCTTGTTAGTAATTATTATAAATTATATTTGTACAAAATTTGATCAAAAAGTTATATAATTGTTGATTAGACATGCATAGTTATATATTTTTTCTTGTTTTATTACAAACATTTAAAAATGTATTGCAAATTACAAATGAAACTGTTGAATGGAGCTGACTAGTATTGTTTAAAAGTGTAATGCAATCCTTTTTTGCATGTTTGTGGGGGGGAGGTTGTATTATGTTGAGAATTTACATATCATGTAATTTGTTTAAAGATAGTAAAATCTGGAATGTGTGGTAAAGCTCACTTGGTAGAGTCCAACCATGAGAGGTTTAACTTCTAGATCTTCACAGTTCACAAAATYTCAAAGCTGGAAAATGCCCCAAAATATCTTCAGAGTTGTGTCATTTCAAATTATTTTGCAGCTGAAATGATTTGCATGCTATTTTTTTTATTGGTTGAAATAAACAGTCATTTTCACAGCTGTCATGAACATCTACAGACTCTCCGACGCTTGTGTCATCCCTCCACATTTACATGCCTTCCATTACCTACAGATTGTCAGTTTTATTTTCTGATGTGCATTTAATAAACTGACTGAATGCCAACTTTCAGCCTCATAAATGCAATAATTTTAAACGTTCCTAGCTTCATTGTTATTGTCATGCCTCATTTTAGCCAGCAGAGGGAGGTGGTGAGTCATAGAGCAAAATAAGGTCAGCTTATAGTCTGTTTCTAACATTTAACTCTATACACATAATGTAGATACATTTACAGTTACTTAAAGTAAAAGTTAGGACCTTTTACAATGCAGTTCTATGGAAACAATAAGCAAGTAATGTTTGTGTATTTTCCTGGCACATACTTCAATTCTATACCACAATTAAGTTGTGTTATCTTAAGTCGTCATGAAAATGTATGTATATTAAAAATGTTGTATTTGCATCATAGCCATCACATCTAAATGCCTTGAAACTGGCCTCTGTTTCTTTAAAGGGGTCAATGATACATGTAACATTAGACATTATTAGATAAACATTTACTTGAGCTGCAAAACAAAGACTAAAATTACTGTAGTCTGTTTAGTTTTTATAATTAAAAAAATATTGTCACACGGATGGCACCATTTTATTAATGCTGCAAAGCATACTGGGTAAATAATGACATTCATAGGTTTTTCGATGTGAGCCTGTGTGAATTTTTATCCTCCCTGAAGGTTAATGTTGGACAATGTCTGATGTTCAGCCCTTTTAAATGAAACCAAAGCATATTGACAGTCAGAAGAATGTAGAAATCACTCAATTTGTAACTGAGAATGTGGATGGAGGACAAACGTAAAAATATTTCATTAACATATTTTTCAATATTTTGCTCACTTTTTTAGTGTTAAATTTATTTAACTAACATTTTATTATTATTTAGCTCACTTTTCTTACGTTTAGCTAATTTTTACTAAATGTTACATTTACATAACAAATATATTTAAATATTAAATCCTAAATCTAAATGTTTAAATTTAAATGTAAAAGTAAAACATTAAATGTTGATGTTAAATGTTGAAGTTCACATTTAGGCATTTCGGAATGGAATGCAGCCTTTGCTGCTGGCGCTCGGCTCATGTTATGATGTCATCACTCTGAGACAACTGCTAGCGCTCCATTGCAGCTAAAGCTTCATCAAACATGCAGTTTTGGATGGTGTCTGAGCTGCACTTCAAACTGTTGGGCCACAGGTACCACCTATATTGTTTTTATGAACACATTTTGAATTTAGATTTTAAATGTTAAATATAGCAGTGTTAGAAGCTTTAGCAGAAGTTAGCACCAGAAACCAGGATGATGGCATCATCCTGCGACAAATATCTACAATGTAGAGATGGGATAAATGGCTCTTTGAAGGGATCCGCATCTTGGGGAGCCGTTCAAAAGAGTCGTTCGATTTTGAACGTATTACGTCATCACATAGGGAAATACGTCACCATGTAGCCGTACATAATGACGTCATCCCGTCACGTGGGTGGAACCATGTGTTTGTCAAGCGGAAATCCCCCGTTTCACCTTGAGCTTCTGTACTCCACAACTCCGCCTGTTTTCCATGAAAAAGCAAAGCGGGAGCAGTTCAAGTATGAAAAAGTAAAGAAATAAAACTACAAATGGCTCGTAACTGCCCGTGATTCGGCTCCTATCGTTCGTTGTAAAGAGCCGTTCAAAAGATTCGGATTGTTCACGAACGTCACATCTCTACTACAATGGCCGCTGCTAGCCACCGCTAGCCACTGCTAATGCTGCTGAAGGTGATCTAAATTCAAAATGTGTTGGAATTTAGATGTTTTTACGATTGAATTTGTTGTAAAATAGCAAAAATCCACTTTGATCTTGACCACACCTGGACTGCCTTGTCACTTTGGTCAGATTTCTCAAAACTGGTGTCATTCAAAGAAATGTCTGCAGAAGGTAAGATATTTACTGTTCATAACATTTACAAGGAAACTCACGTCAAATAAGCTGATCTATTCTTTTAGGCAAGAAAATAAATGCTCAAAAATGGTTCAGAAATGAATAACTGGATCTGAGTAGTGTTCATGTGAATTCAAATATCCTTGGGGCCAGTTAGTAAAGGTTATGATTTTATTCATTAGATTTCTTTCCAGAAGAGGTATTTAGTGGCATGCTAAAATTGGTAAATAGCAATCTCAGTAACATTTGCTTCAAGCATACTGTATCTGCACACAATAAATAACAATGCTTTGGGTTTAATGCTTAACCAGCAGATAAGAGTAACACATTTAACTGAGAAGATCTACAAACACCCAAATACACTGAGAGGTTAGTCTGCATGAATACAAGGAACAGAAAGCCACCAGGGAGGAAGTGAAAAGAGAGTTATTTTAATAAACCAATGATGTAGTGGGGGAAAAAAAACAAGAAAATATGTGCTGATATAAAAAAGGACCAGACAAAAAGACATCAATCATTTGTAACAAATCAAAACAGTTAAACTTATGGATAACTAAACCAACTTGAGTTATTCTACAATATCCACAAAAACAATAGTGCAAAGGTTTTTGATAAGTTTGTATAAAACATTGAAGAGTTACACAGCAGGAGTGCGAGGTGAGGATCCTGTAGAGCACAGACCAGAATAAGGCCAAATCATCTTACYAAGAAAGCAGCAATTCATTTTTGTAGTGCAATTTTCTCAAATACTTTTTTTTTTGTTCTCAAGTGTTCACATGAATGCATTAGATGCAAAACAAAACAAAAAACAACAAGAAAAGAAAGCTCAGTCCGTTTTAATGCCAAAGGATGCGGCTGTCCTGCTGCTGAAGCCTCTCAAACACTCCATATGGAATACATTGGTTCCACATCCTGCAACCAAATCAGACAAATCCAGTTACAAAAATGAAAAAAAAAATACACAAAAACAATCAAACTAGTGTTGAAGTGTTGCATGTTCATGTAAGACAGCTCACCTTAATGTCTTAATCTTTTTACAACTTCTCAAACTGGCTCCCAAACTCTGAGCGCCGACATCCGTCATCTTGTTATATTTAATGCTGTTGAGAAGAGTCAGGCAGAAACAACATGAAAAGTGGGTATTTTTACAGTCCCCAGTGAGCATCAAATATAACAGGAAGTACAGAGTTATTCCTGCCTGTCTTGTAAACATAAATTCATAGACTTGTAGTTCCTCTGTTAAAAGAGGTGTTTATTGTGAATGAAGATTTCATGTGGCTTAACTTTTAAGAACACTTGAACAAACAAACTCAATTCTGAAAGTTGGGTCATAAAAATATAAAAAAACAAACTTTTTTTTTAGTTATGTTTACAATTTTCCACTGTGAATCAAAAGATGGGTTTAATTATGTTTGCTTAAACATGTTTTTAACAGATTGATATTTKTTTGTGTGATGCAAACAGGACGATCTAAAAGGAGGTCCAGGAAACTCACTCGAGCTCGGTTAGAGAAGCCATGTGAGGGAGARCTGCTGCCAAACTCTCTGATCCTTCGTCTGAAATCACATTACTGTAAAGGCTGGAGAGGAGAAAGAGGGAAGTGAGATTTGGTGGTCTTAAAGTAAGAAGCCATTTATAGTTTTTGTTTGGGCGTATGTGTGTGTGTGTGTGTGTTGTATAGAAATCGAACCTTAAACAGTGTAGTTTGGGCAGGTCCTTCAGTGAGGGAGCTAGTTTCTTCACTCCTTCGTCTCCGATACAATTCTGTGACAGACTATAAACAAGAAGAAAACACACACAAAAATAAATAATAAAATAAACACAGTTTTCAGTGGTGGCAATCGTTCCACTAATCTGCTAATAGCRGGCCAAGCTTCTCATTTAGCAGATTAGCTTTTTTTGCTAACTTTACAAATTGTTAGCRGACCAATTAGCTTCCGCTAAATTAGGTTCCACTAATTTTAAATCCACTAAAAAAATTCAGTTGCTAAACTTCTATTTTTATGCCATTTATCTTGGATTAAATTAAAAACTATCCCTTTTCACAAGCAGTGCTGGACATGTCAGGCACCGTGTGTGTAGCATGTAACATCTTTACCAAGGAAACTTTAAATTATGAGCAACAAAAAGAAATAAACTAACATTTAACAATATTTAAATTACGAATACAAAATCTGAACATGTATAAAATATGATAGTGAAAGTATTTTCTATTTAATGATTGACTAACGTCAAACGATATCAAAAAACAACCTTTGATCAAAGAAATGTTTTTATTCTGAAAGGGGTATATGGAAGTATCACAAGTTAGACAGGGCAATAACCCTGGTTTGGATTGGCTGATTTGCCACAGATGATCCCACCCACCTTCAAATTAAACCAATAGAAAACTAACAAAAGGTTTGTGACAGTCCAGCAGTTTTCAGCTGGAAGGATGATGGACTGAGTGACACTTGTCACAGCCGTTAGTGTTAAGCTTCCAGTAGCTTTTTATCTGTTTAGTAGTTTAGCGTTAGCCAGGGCTCTCAAGTTTTGACTTGAGCTTGGAGTGAGATTTAAAATATTTTACTGTCATTTCAATCCCTGAAGTCACTTGCAGCTGGTGTTGCTGCAAATGACTTCCAGTCTACTTCAGAAGTAGACTGGTAGAAGTAGCAGAGAGTATTTATTTATTTATTTATTTATTTATTTATTTATTTATTTATTTATTTATTTATTTATTTACTCATTAAACAACAAAGACCATTAAAAAAATCAAAGTAAATTAATTATTGTGTGTGTGTGTGTGTGTGTGTGTGGGGGGGGGGTGTGTCGTATATCTGCCCCTAATAAAAAAACAACTTACTCCAAGCACTAACGTCATGCGAGTCTTTGTTATAAATTTTGACCTGCAACCCTGCTTTAAAAATAGCCGGGTTATCCTTTTGTTTAGCATGGTTCTGACGGCTGATCCAGCTGTTTGCAGGTGATGTGTCRCATGCGCAGCATATCCTCGTGAGAACAGAGTTTTTTTAAACTATGATTTAAAAAAAAATCATTCGTGCGAGCAACATGCGGAAAGGATCGGTCTGAGCTGGGCTGTTACGGGTTGTCCCGTCTCACGCTCTTTATAACWACGCGCAGCGCGGATGGTTGATTGACAGGACTGATCGGCTCTGAACGCAGCGTGCATGTGTGCAGGACTCCCAATTCAGGAATAAAAACACAAAAATAGGCGGAGATGGATCTTTTTAGGCAAAGTGAGAGGTCCGTCCAACCAGAGAGAAAAACATTGGGCTGCTTATTCGTATGTCGCTGTGTACTCACTTTAGTATCTCCAGACATCCGAGGGACACTAATGCAGTCGCCAGTTTCTCTGCTCCTTTGTCCCCGATCTTACTATTCTCTAAACTGAAACAAAAGTAAGAAAGAAACAATTAGAAATGATCTCGCCAATGCAGATGTTTTACTATTAAGTGACACATTGGAAATGGAAATATTTGTTCTCGCTCACTCGAGGTGCTGCAGGTTTTGTAGCCCTGGCAGAAGATCCCAGAACTTGGGAAGAGCCAAGGGACCGTTTTCTGGATCAAGCCTGCAGGAACAGACAGGATCATGAACAGATGCTAGAATGGCACGGCTCAGATGACAGCTTATTGTAGCACCCTCTCTTTAGCTTATCACCCTTTATTTGACACAATATCGTCAAATTTCAGAGTTACTCACTCAAATTCCAACTTGTACAGCTCTTTGACTGCYGGTACCCCCTCTGCTAGGATGGAATCTGATTGTCTGGAGCTGCAAACAAGCACAAATACTCATTTCAGCCATGTGTTACAAAGAACTAAAGCGAATCTGACTGTGCACTCTCTGACTCTTACCTCTCTGACAGCCTCTTGTGCACATGTATGTTCACCAGCTTTTCCAGGTGTTCGATGTGGCACACCTGTGTGGCCTTAAGAGGGTGGATCTTGAACTTGGACACCGCTCCTTGTAGAAGTCCYTTTTCGTCACTCTGCTCCAGGTGCTCCCAAAGGGTGATGACATCGGCGATGCAAGCCCTAAGGAGCACAGCAAGCTTGGTTTTCAAGATTTTTTATGCAAGATTCATAAAGCTGAAGGTTCCTCATTTCAATCAGTGATTAGATGTAATTTCCAGTTCAAAACTTACATTAAAAGCTTTAAGTTTGACAGCGTTAAAAGCAGAAATATGGATTTAAAAGCTCCACATACATGTAACAAGCTAAATTAAATAAGCTAAAAGCCTAAAATCTAAATGTGATCATTCAGGGTTTTTTTCAAGTGAGATTCTGAGAACAGGTTATGAGCAATTGATATTTTAAGTGTTCTAGATATCTCTTCAAATTACCTCAGTTTATGGAAATAGTTTAATCCTGGCTAGATTGTCACATTATAAGCTATCGCTCCAAACTGAGGTTGTTCAAAAAGTTATCTACAACAGGTAGGATATYACTGTTCATAAGCTTCCAACAAAACCCCCTTCAGGAGATCTGAAGTATTGCTTCAAGTAGCATGTTCTAAGCTGGACATTCACAACAAAGAATATTTCACCTGAACATTACTATTTAACTAATGTCCTAAATCACATGTGTCAAATTCAAGGTCCACCATGGCATTTTCTGTCGCCCAAAAGAGCGTTAAAGATGTATTATTATCTTAAATTAAGCATATGCTGCTTTAAAGCCAGGATTAACCATAAACTAAATTTCCCATAATGCACTGCTGATTATTTTACCATCAAAATGATGCCATCCCACCACTACATGGAGGTGCACAGAGTTCAAAAGAAGGTGGTAGCCATTAACTGGTGTAATTCACTGCGTAAAATCTCTATTTCATGGCATTATTGACTATTACTTTTGTTGTGGCCCAGTACTGGTCATAAATTTMAACTGGAACACCCCTCCAGTGGGAATTCCCTGTCAAAAAGTGSRGGGATCCAGAATTCAAGATGGTAGCTTACTCACCACAACTCAGCAGTGAGTAAAATTATTTTACTTTTACTTTTAATAGTATTTCTGTATTTATAGCACATTCAGTCAGTCATACATATAATAACTTTAGTGTTTACGACGACATGCTAAAAYGCTGTTTCTATGAACAAAGTACCATGTAGAGCTTAGTTATTGTTTATTAGCTGTGCTCAGCCGTAGCAATGAGACGAGGTGCATGACGTTTCCTGTTTAGTCAAAGTTAAACACGAAATGTCAGAGTTGAAACKACCCTTTGCGGGCCACCATAATGCTCATGTGCCCTACATGGTTGAGAGAAAACATAACTCATTTCCTTAGGCTGCAATATTTAAATGATAGAGTCTATGTCATGTGGATGTTACTTTGACATTGTCCCCCACCTACGTGTTTTTAAAGACAGACAGCTGTCCATGCCAACAGCACAACTCTGCTCTAATGTAATGTAAAACTGTATTCCATGTATGTTTTCCACTGTTAATTATGCAAAAGTACATTTAGTTGATGAGAACAGATTCAGAAGTTTGTTCAGAGGCAACATCTGATCATGCCGAAGCAACCAGAACGTCTTCACTAAATGGGTTTATTTGAACACAACTGTGATCCTTGAAAAGGATTTTAGCTTTACATCTAGTAAACTAGCTAGATAAATATGCAGTACATTAAGTATCCAATATATTTCCTACAATCAAGCTACCTTTTAAATTACTCTTACTCTAAATTGATATTAGTAGATCATTTTGATGCCAAGCTGAATTTTACCTGTACGTTTTGATGTTGTTGAGACTCGTCAAAGCTCTAAGTCCACAAATCCATATCCCCGAGTCCTCCAGATCCAAGCAGAAGCTTTTGCCTTCAGCTCCGCCCCGCTGGAGAGCATTCTGCACAGTGAACACATCGGGCGGACTGAGGGAAACTCCACAAAATGTCAGGAATTCTGGCAGATTTCCTGCCAGATGGGTCAACATTCTGCTGGAGGGGATTCCACTGCCCACTTCATACGTCAGACTTGCTTCATAAACATAGTTGCATGCCTCCAGGACTTGAGCCGGGCTCAGTTCACTGTACGAAAGATTTTCTATGTGTTTTGTGGCCAGCATCTGCTTGCTGACCACCATGTCTCTGAAAACTGTCTCTGTGTATGAATGGAGCCTCCGCAGTTCTGTCTGATTGTGGAACAGTAGGCCCACGGCGAATCGTTGAGTGAGCTCAAGCTCCTCCCGTTTAGGTTTTCGTCGGCCTTTGACTGTGGTCTGGAAAGGGAGGGTCTGGAGAAAGGAACGATCGGGGACAGCCCTGGGAAAAACCAACAGAAGAGTTAGTCAGGAAATTACAGAAACAGGAAAAGGCGTTTCATGGTTTTTATGCCAACAACAGAGTTTCTCATTCTGAATCAAGGTCCAAATGCAACATTTTTTATATTTGTTCATTGTTTTATACACACACACACACACACACACACACACACACACACACACACACACACACACATATATATATGCACAGAAAAATTCTTTTTACCTTGACATAGACAAATGGACGGCAGCTATATAACTCTGAAGGAAAGGATTGGCCCACAACAAGATGCTGTCATCACAATGTTCAACSTGGTTAACCTCTTCCCCGTTGTCTTTACTTTCTCCTTCTTCCTCACTTTTTGTTTTGTTTGTGTTCTCTCGTCCTCCTCCCTCCCCATCATCTTGCATGACAGTCATCCTCAGGCGCTGAGAAAGCAGCAGCCCCAACCTGAGGCCAAACGCCTTCAGTTTGGCAGATACGGCTCTTCCTGAGGGAATGATTGAAGAATTCGATTTGACTCCCTCCCAGGCCAAAGAGCTCAGCTGGAACAACAACTCTTTGTCTTCTTTTCTGTCTGCGTCCTCTAAAACATTCGCCTCGTCCACTTTTTCTTGATGTCCCCCCTCTCCCTTTGCATTCCTTGCTTTCTGGGAGCAACGGGCACTCTGACGTACTCCTCTGGACTTTTTTGGATTAGTTTTGCAACCTTTCCCCGCTTGAGAATTGTTTGAGTTTTCTGTTGGGGCTTCTTGTGCAGATTGCTCCTGAGTTTCATTGGGCAACTGCGTGCTTCCTCTGTCTTTTTCTAGTTTTAGACACAAGACATCATGACAGAGCCCGGTTAGAGTTCTTGGTAAGATCTCTGAAGGTTTGGACTGCTCCAGAACCATGCACACCAAGTGACAGAGTCCAGGATTCCAGCAGAGTAGTTTCAGGTAGCTGCTAGCTTTTAGGCAGTCCACAGCAGATTCCCTGAGCATAGGATCCGTGAAGTACTTGGACAAGTACGTCTCTACGTTTGTTGGACTGAAACCACACACCTCCAGAAGGCTGTCTGTGCGTCGCAGCAGCTGTGTGGCGGTACCTCTCGGCCGTGTGGCGAGCAGAAGCGTGCACCCAGGAAGTAATACTCTTTGAAGGATGCCAGAAAAGAGCTGCTTGACTGTGAAGCCCTGCACCTTGCCGTCTCTCTGCAGTGACGTTACCAAGTCTTTTTCCAGAGTCTGGAGCAATGTTTCATAGTCTCGCAACTCATCAAACCCGTCAAAAATGATAAGAACCCGTTTCTGGGCTGCAAGTATTTGCGCATATACTTCCCCAGAGTCTGTGTAGGGGGAAGCGTAGGAGGAAAGGTTGAGCAGGAGCGTTTGAAGGCTATAGGCTGGCTCTCCTAAAGTGAGCTTCTTGCCATCTAATAAGAAGACAAAATCAAACTGGGGGATGCAGTCTTTAGACCAATCAAAACACAACTTCTTGATTAGCGTGGTTTTACCCATGCCTGCATTTCCAAACAGCAAAATGTAGCGTTTGTTACATTTGTCCCCGTTTAGGCTTTGGAAGATCTGAAAAAGATGAATATGTACAAAAGTTTGAACATTTTGAAAAACAGGCAAAACCAGTTTGAAGTTTTACCAAATGCTTTCGAAATTATTTGAAATATATTCAGACACAAACACTCTTACCCGACTCTGTTCCACTGAGCTTTTTTGGCGATCTRTGTCCCCAATGACAATAAGATCCTTGTCCAGACTTCTGTTTGTGTTTTTTCCTGAGCGAATGATCTCTCTCCTGCTCACTTGCACATCTATGTAATGATCGTTCAGGCTCAGATATTCCTCCATAACTTGGCAGGTTTCAGCCATGTGTGCCTTGTATTGCTGAATATAGTCTTTTACACCCTCTGAGAGACAGAAACATGTCAATACCAGACTGCATCTTCACAAAATGTAAAGAAACTTTGAAAAAAATAGGAATAAACTGAAGCTTCCAGTGACTTACGTGGAATTTTAACCACAGCTGGGGACTTTGGTGATTCCTTACAGGGGGACACTTCTGAAATTCAACAAATTATTGTTTTTCACAGATGTATTTTTTTCACAGATACTCTCATGGATGATGGAATGACAAAGATCGTGATGCCATACCAGTCTCGGGGGATGGAGGAGGGGATACGTCTTTGCTGGTCATATCTGACAGAGAACCAGGCGGGAAAGAACTCATCAAAACAGGTGCTATGGTGCCATTCACTGCAAATACAAAAGAAGAAAAATAACAACTTAAGGGGTGAAGGACTCGCATCCTGAGTATTTAACACATAAATGTACATAATATTTTTTGATTAAACGAGAAATTCACCTGGAGAGAGTGGGGGCACCTGGCGTTTACAGGGTGGTGGGGTAGCAGGAACTAAATTACAGAGGATAAAAGAACATAATGTTGATACTGTCCATGAACAATAATTAAGACTAAAAGAAATGCACACAAATGTCACAGCATAAATAAAAAGGTGAAGACAGGTGGGATATAGACGAAATGTTTGGATAGTACCAAATCATTTTAATCAAGTTTCCTCTAACTACAGTAGACAGTCAAACTACTCAGTAGACTCAAACTGTGTGAAACACTGTTAATTATCACCTGACTTTACAAAAATCAGACAATTTATTTATTTATTGAGGAAAAAAGAAGACCGAGGATTGAGCCCTGAAGGACCCCGATGTACTGTAAAGTTCCAGGCAAGATGCAAGATGTTTAATCAGTGTTAAGTAAATTCATTTTTAGGTATTTATCCTCCATTCAAGCTTATAAAGTTCTTGTGAAACAGATGTTCTTTCTCAGCTTGAGCAATTTTGCTTTCAATGTCCAAATTTAAAGGAGCAATTCAAAAAACGATTGTCACACTATATTTTACATGTGAACTAACATAGTCATTCTCAAACCAAGGAATAATAAACTGTAATGAAGTAGACTTTCCAATTTAAGTGGTGCAACATAGCTCATCATTTGATATTAGAATTTACATGCACTGAAATACCATAGATGTACATTTAATTAAGAAAATGGCTAGCTAGCTAGTTAGGCATGATCAAATAAAATTATTAGCTACTTAAAACAATTAATGACATAAAACCAGATTATTCAGTCCTTAGAAAAGTTTGTAACTTCAACACCTTTTAGCCACAACTGAAACAAAAAGACTTAATTATGACATTGTTTTTCCTGTAGCTTCCTGAGCTGACTTGTTTTTTACATATAACTCACCTATGATATATGTCGGTGTAGCTGTCATGTTGGGGAGTGGAAGCCCAATGATAGGAGGAGGCGGAGAGGACAACTGGACCACCTGGTATCCTGAGTTTTCTGGCAGAGTAATGAACTGGATGGGGATGGGAGCAGCCGGTGGGGATGGATAGACCTGAAGCAGTGGTGGTGTGGTGGGGAGCTCTCTCTCTGGCTCTGGAGTTAGCACAGATACTGCGTCAGCACCTGCATCACACCATTAACATTTTCTTCAAACTAAATAGAATTATTTTTACTGTGTATTTATTTATTTCATGACTAGCAGTGTCATCATGAATATTTTATTATTTCATGCTGTATTTGTTTCTTTAATTTTGTCACTTTTAACCCTCCCTAACCCTAACCGGCCTCAAACCAACCAAGGAAATGTAAATATATTTTAATCTTAGTTAAAAGGGCTAAGCTGTTTTTGTGCTACAGCTACCCAACCATCTACAGCTGCCCTTTTAACCGTCTGTTAAAGGATCAAGAACAAATATCGTAACACAAGCAAATGCCAACAAAAGTTTGAAAATGATCATCACACCAGACTGCGAATACCTAAACAATGTTAAGGAAGTTGAAAGATGTGCGAGTTCTTCTTTTGACTTATCACCATGACATTTAACATTATCCTTCAAAACAATACTTCCTCTTTTTAAATTTTTTTCTTTTTTTGGTCTACATTTCAAACCAAAAAAAGGAACTAAATCAAGTATCACCAAGTAGAGCTGCTTTCCCCCATAATTCTCAGTACAGCATTATCATGTAGATAATCATCAAACTGCTCTTATTAAAATTGATAATGATCTTCTCCTTGCTGCTGACTCAGGACTTCTGTCAATACTCATCCTCCTTGATCTGAGCTCTGCCTTTGACACCATCTCTCATCCTCTCCTCATCAACCGACTAACCTCTATCGGCATCTCAGACACCCCCTGTACTGGTTTAAATCCTATCTTTCCGACCGCACTCAGTTCATACAGCTCAAGTCCTTCCGTTCCCAGTCTTCCCCCATTTCCACCAGTGTTCCCCAAGGTTCTGTACTCGGGCCGCTACTTTTCATAATCTATCTGCTTCAGTTTGGCCACATCTTCCATAAATTTGGTGTTCATTTCCACTCTTATGCTGACGACACTCAGCTCTACATTTCAACAAAACCGAGCTCCACCTTACCATCCTCCACTCTTGCCGATTGCCTCAGTGAGCTCAACAACTGGTTCTCCAATAATTTCCTCCAACTAAACAATAACAAAACTGGACTCCTTGTTGGGACAAAAAAACTCCATTTGCAAATCCCAACATCTTCTCTTCACACTTAACAACTCTGTTCTTTTTCCCTCACCTCAGGTCAAGAACCTAGGTGTCATCCTTGACACCACACTCTCTTTCACATCCCACATTAACAACGTGACTCGATCTGCATACTTTCATCTTCGCAACATTAACCGTCTCCGTCCTTCACTCACTCCTCGCTCCACTGCCATCCTTGTACACAGCCTATTAACATCCAGGATCAACTACTGCAACGCTCTACTGTTTAGCCTACCCAATAAATCTCTTCACAAGCTACAGATGGTTCAGAACTCAGCAGCCCGTGAAATCACTCAAACCTCATCCTCTGCCCACATCACTCCAGTCATCTTCAAAATTCTCCTACACACTTTCAAAGCTATCTACAATCTTTCCCCTCCTTACCTGTACAACCTCCTAAACATCTCCACACCCTCCCGCTCTCTAAGATCTGCCTCCTCCCTCCAACTCTCAGTACCCCCTGCACGCCTCAGTACCATGGGAAGCAGAGCTTTCAGCCACTCTGCTCCGCAGCTCTGGAACTCACTACCCCATGGATTATGCAATACAACCTCTCTCTCTCACTGTTTAAGACTGGCCTGAAGACACATCTTTTCAGATTAGCCTACAGTTAACTCCGATTGTACCTCAATAAATGACTGTTTTGTAGTCCTCATTTCTGTTTCTCCCCCACAACCCTATTGTTCAACTTATCTATTTTTTGTATTTCTTTACATGAATGTTATGTACTCCACATTTCTATGTTTCTGCTGCACTACCCAATCACTCTATGTATTTACAGTTGTTTCTTTTTTATTGTACAGCATCCTTGGGTATCCTGAAAGGCACTTTATAAATAAAATGCATTATTATTATTATTATTATTATTATTATTATTATTATTATTATTATTATTATTATTATTATTATTATTATTATTATTATTATTATTATTATTATTATTATTATTATTATTATTATTATTAGACCCACCTGTGCTGTGATGATTTATATTTCCCCTCTGATAAGTGCAGAATGTGGATGTTTTGATACAATCATCACTGTGGATGGATGGTTTACTAAAAGGTAGAATGTTCTCAAAAAAATACCATCACCTTTCACCACAAACAACCAAAACTCACCTGGAGTGATGGGCGGCTCATCATTTGTCTCTGGGGTGACTGGTTGATCTACAAAAAAAAACAAAAAGAAAGAAAAACAAAAAACAAAAATGAAGTATTAAAAAACACTGTATTAAGTCATCAAATCACCAAGGAAGTTCTGTATTTCTACTTCATCACAAGAGGTGATAAGTAATCCTGCAGAACTGCCTTCAAACCAAGCTGCTTCCTATAAAGGTTTTATTTCAAGGGCAAACAAATCATTTTAAGTGAYGTAGATAGCTCTTTCAACAGCAACTCTGCAATGGCAAATTGAAAGTTGCGTATGGGTTTATACAGTAACTAGCATTTGCACAAACTGCTATTAATAAAGGTATAAGGCTGATAATGCATGAGAAGGGGGATAACATTGGTATTAAACTGATAACTGAGCGATAAAGGATGATGACAACAAATAAAAAAATATGGTTGTCATCTGGTAACGACCAATCAAATGATCCGATAACCTGGACTCTGTATTTTTATGACTGACTATAAATATAATCAAATGGACTTAAGTTAAATATTACGAAAAAGTTTCATAACCACCAAGGCAATGTGGAGCTCATTTCTTTCACTTGTGTTGCACATTTAAAGAGGTAGTCTAATAATTTTTCAAGTGGCATTCTGTTTAGTTATCTAGTTATCAGTGGTGATGTCAGTCACAGCGSTCAGATGAAGAAAAGAGCTGAAGTTTTCCTCCAGATTGCCAGTTTCTACTATTTTCAGACCTAAAGAAAAAATGTTTTGCCAAAATTAAGACTTTTGTCAAAATTACCAAAGCACATTTTCAAATTCCATCTTTTTAAGCTACATTTTGACACCYGGATTACCATGATATCATGAGGAATTCAAGAGATATGGCTTGATTTGACTTCCTAATCAGGATAACACAATATTTGGTCTGAAGCCTATTTTTAGGTTATTCTAATGAGGATTTTTTTCCCCATCATTTTTAAAAACGAAACTTACCAGCTGGAAAGACAAAAGGATTTGCTAGTGCGCAGGAAAAATGTAAATAAATAAATAAATAAATAAATAAATAAATAAATAAAAAATAAAGGCTTTTATGCTCCAAATCGTGTTTTTAATAGCTACTGCTCAAAAAGGGCTTCAAATACATACTTTAAAGGAGACCAATTATGGGTCATAGAAATTTTTATGGTATGTCTGTGGGCTATCCAGACCATGTTCATTCAATTTAATGCACAAAATAATTCTCAGATAATAAAATTYYCCATTTTCTAGTTCTGCCTGCTCTGACTTCCGTTCAGAAGAGCTGTTTATGTTAATGAGCTCTGTTGGTAACGCCCTCCAAAAATCTGTTGACATTAACTCCGCCCTCCAAAGCCAGCGTTTATGTTAGCATGGCTAATAATAGCAGCTCTGTTGTACAACCATATTAGAGACCCAGAGGCAGAGTCGTGGTGGCAGCTTCTTTTTTTTTTCTCCCTCCTCTGCTCTGCGCTCACTCTGCATGCTGTTACCAG